GATGCATCAAGAGTTCAGAGTGTTTGCACACCAAAACTGAACTGCCTGGGCTACGCCCTGGGCACTGATTTTATACCTTTAATCAAAACTTCGTAAATCAGTAGGCGTTACAATAGGCGTATACATATTGATTGTCCAAACCCCCTGCTTAGGACAGGGAAGTACATTTTGGAAAACTACAATGCAGAAGTGAATCCTAAAAGTCATAAAAACAGGATAGAAAAAGTGCTGAGATGATGCCCACATTATTCTGACATTTGGCTATTTTCAGTATTCTACACCCACATTACTTCCTTGTGCCATCCTTGTGCAGTAGCTTGCGACATGTTCCCGTAAAATTTGTAATACTTATGAGGAAGTTAGAAGTCAAGTGCACTAAAGTGAAATGTCAAGCTAATATAAGTTTATAAGGTCCATTCTATTAAGACCACCTAACCTGGCCAGCCACTGGTGGGTTGACCTGTGTACCCCCTCCTGCCTCAAATACAGGAAATGGATATGAATATGTGGTGACAGTAGGACAGGGACAGGGGATACAGCAGGCATACTCAGCTGATTGGGCTAATTAAATGAACTCTTTGTTTATTTATTACATTTCTGCACCGCCCATCTCACTTAAGTGACTCTGGGCGGATTACAAGAGCCACTATAAACACACGACTGTAACAGAATTAAAAACAAGGTTGAAATCTACAGGTTAAAACTGGAAATCAAAGTTAAAACTTTCAGAAATATGAATCTGAACTAGGCCTGTGGAGTTCTGGTTTTTGAAGTTTGTGAAGTAGAAATGGGCTCCTCACCTATCTAGTAACACAATAATACTACTATTAAAAGATTTGAAAATCTGTATTGAAACCTGGGAATTCAGGCAAGTCCACATATCTTTACGTTGCCAAGGTTGAGTTACACTGAATTATACTGCATATTGTCAAGGAAAGCAAAGAGTTATGCAAAGTTGTACAAAGGGGTTTTAAGGGATTGGTTTAATTTGGCCTTCATGTCATATACAAACCCTCCCAAACATGATTTAATACATCAAGGTTAAAACAAACAAACAGGAGGTTAACCTAAAATCTGAAGACAATTTGTGACACCCAAGAAAGTCTACGAAGCCTTGAAATGCTAAATCTCAAATTTCTTTAGCCTTGAAATGCTAAATCTCAAAATTCTCTATAGTCTGAGAATGACTGCACACTGTTAATTGAAATTTGCAGATATACCTTCAATAGAAAAGTAGTCGCTTCAGGAAAGGAAACATCATTTTAAACAGATGTAATAATAAAGTTGGTAGGTCCATAATCAAGTTGATGGGATCTTCAAACTCCTCTTCAAACTCCTTTTCAGACCCCTTTTCAGACTTCTTTTCCTTCTGGTGCTGGTGGATCTTCTCCTTCTGCTGGTCTGTCTCCTCCTTAAAATATTTTTCCCATGAAGCCTTTTGTTCCTGCAGGCAGTTATTTCAGTTATTAGACTGAAAGCAAAATAACCTAATTATTGTTACAGACCATGTTCAAGAATGTACCCAATAAAAAAAGAAGATTTGAGATCTATTTGGATAATTCCAGAGGTGGGATCCTCCCGGTACGGTACGCCAGAAGAGGTAGTGAAAATCTGGCGTACCGGATGGGACCGATAATAATGGTGGCCTGGCCATGCTTCTGAACCTGTTCTCCCATCAAAAGCTTTTTTTAAAAAAAAAAAAGTTTTTTCCCCTGCCGGTTCAAGTTGATGTCAATTCTTAGCAAACACACAGATGGATTTGCTCCAAGACAATTTGTTCCCAACCTTCAGGTCTTCCATTGGTGTATCAATCACTGCTATAATGGATGCTGCAATCCACCTTCCTCTTGGTCCTCCCATCTTTCCCAGCACTAGAACTTTCTCTAGAGAGTGGCTCTTTCCATAACTTGGCCCCAGTATGATAACTTGAGCCTGGTCATTTCAGTCTCGAGTGAACTCTGGCTTGATTATCTCAATGGAGGTTTTTTTGGTTCCACCACAAATCCGCGGTAGACTAAAGCACGCTCGACGAAAGCGCGTACGTGACGTCATCACAGCGCGACGAAAACGGCACGCTGTGAGCGGTAAATTTAAAATTAACGCGAAAACCTTACCCTAACCCCCCCAAACCTAACCCTAAACCTAACCCTAAGCCTAACCCTTAACCTAACCCTAAACCTAACCCTAAACCTAACCCTTAACCTAACCCTAACCCTAACCCTAACCCTTAACCTAACCCTAACCCTAACCCTAACGCTTAACGTAACCCCAAACCTAACCCTAACCCTTAACCTAACCCTAACCCTAACCCTAACCCTTAACCTAACGCTAAACCTAACGCTAACCCTTAACCTAACCCTAACCCTAACCCTAACGCTTAACGTAACCCCAAACCTAACCCTAACCCTTAACCTAACCCTAACCCTAACCCTAACCCTAACCCTTACCTTTATGTGAATCAGCTTGCTTTAATTTTATTTTAATTTTAATTTAATTTATTTTTAATTTTATTTGTTGTGCTGCTGATGACGTCACGTACGCACTTTGATCAGGCGCGCTTTAGTGGACCGTGGTTTTGACGGGTCACAGTTTTTTTATATGCTTTCTTGTCTATCCATGGTTTCTCTGGAATCTTCAATCAATCAATCAATCAGGTTAAAACCGGAAGGGACCTTGGAGGTCTTCTAGTCCAATCCCTTGCTCAGGCAGGAGACCCTATACCATTTCAGACAAGCGACTGTCCAGTCTCTCTTTAAAAATCTCCAGTGATAAAGCACCCACAACTTCTCCAGGGAAGCCATTCCCCTGGTTAATTGTTCTCACTGTTAGGAAGTTTCTCATCAATTCTAGGTTGCTTCTCTCCTGGATTAGTTTCCATCCATTGTTTCTTGTCCCGCCCTCTGGTCCTTTGGAGAATAACTTGACCTCTCTCAAATACCGGAATACGTCTATCATGTCCCTGGTAGTCCTTCTTTCCTTAGACTAAACAAACCTAAATCCTGTAACCATTCTTCATATGTTTTAGTCTCCAGGCCTTTAATCATCTTTGTTGCTCTTCTTTGCACTTTTTCCAAAGTCTCAACACCTTTTTTGTTATGTGGTGACCAAAACTTTATTCTACATGTAGACTTACTAAACATTTATAAAATGATACCTAGTACTTCACATGATTTTAATTCTATGCCTCTGTTTATACAATGCCTTTTTCTCCAATGTTGTATCTCAATATGAATTGATATCTCAACTGAATAGATCTTCTCCAATGCCATCTCTCAACATTTGTGGGTTTTTTTTGCTATCCATCTTTTCTCAGGAGGCACCTCCAAAGCCAAAGCTCAAAAACATCGACACTCTTCCTGTCTTGTACTTCAAAGTCCAACTTTCATTTTCATTGAGGTACAGACAAATCTTTTCCAAGATCTTTGTTGCTCCTCTACCAAGTGATGAGAAATGGCATATTTCCTGACTCTTGGTTCCTTAACTGTTGATGATAAAAGAACTAAAAAACAGAAGCTATCCACCACTTCAGTATCTTCATTGTCAGTTCTAAGGCAGGCTGCTGTACCTATTTTCATTAGATTAGTCTTCTTTAAATTTAATCATAGTTCCATTTTTTTCACTCTTCTCATTAATTTTCTTTACTACTTCTGCACCTACCTGAAGATTTGCATTTATGTCTTCAACTATCAGGGTAGTTTTATCGGTATATTACAGTGATGGGATTCAAATAATTTACCAACCAGTTCTCTGCCCTAATGACCAGCTGGGTAGGTGGGGCTCGGTGATC